TTTTTTCTCTTTGTTCTTTTGCACGCAAGTCATTATTTTCAAGATTTATCCTTACTGGCCTGTATTATTTTTAAAGTTTTTAAAAATTGTACCAAATTTTCAACTGAGCTGCTTTCATACTATATAAGCATGACCTGACTATCGGAAATATCCGGAAACGCATTATAGCTTTTGTCTTTGCTATTTTGTTATCATAGCTTATTAAATACAAGGACCCGCTGAAGGATTGGTTGGGGGGGGGGTTGAAGGGGGAGGGGGCTAGTAATATTTGACAGTAAGTTCAGTTAAACGTGTGCTCTTTACTTTGTATTGAGGGATTTAGAGGCAGTGAACGTCGACAAGCTAAGCAGCCTGATGTGGCATCGCGGTGTGAAGAGGGCTTGACGACTGATGACTGTCAGTAACATTGACGATGATGATGACGAGGACGACGATGATAATGGCAATGATGATGGTGGTGGTGCTGAGTTATGCTGACAATGATAAAGATTTTCATGATGCTGATACTCTGAGAAAGACTGATGCACACTTTGATGAAGATGAAGATGATGACAAAGATTGCTTAAAATGCTGACGATGATGTTGATGACGCTATTATTGACGATGATGATGACGATGATGATGACGATGATGATGACGATGATGATGATGATGATGATGCTTGTGTTCTTGTACTCAGATCAAGAAACCCCGCAGCTCAGTAAATGGCCATGGCGTCTTCACCTGGTGAGCACCAAACACTCACCTTTTTCCTTCTTCAAAAGCTGATGATTTTAGAAAGAGAAATTAAGGATGCAATAATTAGCAAATTTTCATTTGATTTCCAAATAGTCATTAAACATTAATTTCCTTTGTATTTTCTTTATGAATTATTAATGATATTTGAGAACTGTGCAGGAAGAACAGAAAACGCAATCTGGTGTAAGATACCATGGGTTTCAAACTCCAAAATTAAAATGGATTATTTAATTTTTGCTTAATTTAATTGCATACCAAACAAAATAGAAGTGGGAAGAGACATTGAAGACACGCACCTTCCCCTATGATAAATTTAAGGCTATAAAAATACACCCGGAAAATACTTTGCAGCTACAGTAAAATAAACCTGGGAGATTCTTGTTCAAAAATTAAAAAAAGGTGATTCCAAACTGTTTTGTCTCAACAGCACCCATGAGGAAAAGATTGCAATTCAAGAGTCCATATATCATATTGGAGAAAGATTTTGGATGTACTTCCTACGTGGAGGAGAAACCAAGCAAAGATGAACTTTAAACTACCATAGACCGCCCGTTTATAATATTTAAGTAAGGCCCATGTTTAAACAGACTTCTTTTCGCAATGCTGTCTCCTACAGTTTCGCCAGCAAACACTGATCGTTGAAGAAAACGGATTCAGCAAATTCTATAAGGTTTAAACTCGACAAATTGTTCTTCTACTAAACTCTGATCCCATTTATTTTACTTTGTAAACCGGCCAACGGTTCTAAGCAGCAACGAGTTTGAATTTGGGCAGTATGTTCTGACGAAGAAGCAGTAACATCATTCCTGTTCGATGAATCATAACGGTTTAACGGCCGGTTTGAACGAACTGAACTCTTCCAAAGCATTTATGAAAATAAAGAAATTGTGTTTGTTTCCTCGGAGTTTGTTGAGCAAACCCTATGGTGTCACCATGGAAATAAGACTTTTTCAACACTACTTCCTCGTATTAACAATAATTGTTTAGGATTTTACGAACTAGAAAGCAAGATAGTATTCAAAAATTAGGTTTGGTATTCTTAAAAGCATGTTAGAGCAAAAGGGATAATAAAATCCGTATTTTATTTGTTCTAATCAGTACTAGTTTCGTGCTAGATGAACAATGAATAAGGTCAATAATGTAACAAATGTGAGAGCCATGAGGTAAAGTGAGAAGGCTATTTTACAATTGGCAAGATGATTAGAGAGATGTAGAATTTATCAATTCGACTTCGAACGTAACAGCGCAACTTGGAACTTCTGAATTCTCCTTAATTAATGCCACTGACTTCGCTGATTTCATAGCTTAACATGTAACATAACCAGCAATAACCTTATAATGCATGAAGATTTTTAGAGGTTCCAAGGAAGTGTTTTGCCTGAACTGAATTTGTCTGAAGAAACAAAATTTAAAACGTTATTGTTGCTATCTGCCGAGTGAAGGCACGGAATCATAGCTTTCAAACCTTTACGTTGGTTCAGTAAACATAATTTAGTTTAGTTCTGCAGGCACAAAAACAGAGATTCCGGCGGCAGTCGTGAGATGATTAAGTCGCGCTGTTCTGGTCTCAGCCTTGCCGACTCAACAGCTCAGCGGGCAAACGGATTTTTCTTTTCTTTTATCCTAGCAAAGCTAAGAGGTTACTTCTATTAACTTATTTATTTTATTTACTATACTTTACTTATTTATTTAAGCTAGTAGGCCTTAAAACCCCGAAGGCATCGCCATAGCACTGGTCGGGGTACACGGTCCCCATTTTTTCCAAAATTGGTTTTTCGGGGTTTACGTGTCCGGCTGTGGTGTTCTCGTATTTTTATTTTTATTTTTGTATTTCTTACCAATAAAGTGTACTTTCTTGGGCTTCATAGATCGCGTGTTGGTTTCTTTGGTTGTTCATATGTAGGGAACGCAAAATAGTTTGTCAACTGGAACATGATCACGCTCTTATCGTAGGGTAACTCAGTTGATTTAATAAACTCCTGTAATTCTTTTTGTTTTACGAAAGGTTGATAATCTAAATGTTTCAGCGACCTTTTTGACGCACAGAATACATGTTAGGTCTCAGGAGCGAATGCTGTGGCTCAGTTTGCCCTTGATCTAAATCTCTCCGAATTCACAATACAAATGATGAGGGGCACCCAACGAATATTTTCTGTAAAATATCTGTTCGGAAAAGCACGATTGCCAAGAATTTTCTATTGCTTGAATATGGCTAAAAATTTCTAGATGAGCGTTCCATTCAGGTAAAATTTTCGAAGCTTATCTAAACAATTCCCTAAGATTTTCTGAAGTTTAATTTTTCATATTTTACTCCTTATGTTAGGGTGATTTTCGTAGGAAACCTAAAATTTTCGGATTCAAAAATGTGATGGAGAGAGGAATAAGAAAAATTCTCAGTTTCGTAAAACGTTGTTCAACTGCATGTAAAATTTTCGGAAAAATATCACTAAAGCCGTTGTAAATTCGAAGGGCCTCAAGTTCCCCAAGGATGACCGGCCAGATACAAATTTTATAGCGCGCCGCTTAGAATGCATTTCTAGAGATCTAGAAGTACTGTGGATAACCTAAAAAGACTTTTCAATGCATTTAGGAGGAAACCGTCGTTGGGTGCCCCTGACTAATCTGTTTATTTCTTCTTATTGTCATTATATTATTATTCCAGAAAAACACACAAGCTGCAAAGCTTTTAAATTAAAGACAAGGAGATTATGCCTTTGTTCGAGTGCGAGAAAATTAGCTAAAACAAACTTTCTCTTATAAATTTATGATAATCTTTGGGAAACGCATTACTAAATTTGATTAACTTCAACTGTCTCTTCGAAATAGCCCAGCGCAAATCCAATAACGCTGAAGAATCTTTCGGTTTTCGCGTCTGCACTCACTTTGGCCGGCGGAAATCCAAGAACGCGTTCTTGAACCTCTGTCTTGCTCCCCTTTCTTCGTATGCTCGATCTTGTCGTACTCGAGAATTCTGCGTGTATCGATCGAGTAGTCTTAGTGAAGAGGAAGATTCCAATGAAAATGTTCGGGGGTTTGGGGGGGGAGCTTCTTTTCGAGTAAATATTTCTTTTAGATATTTACAACCTCATACTGGCGAGGGCCTTTCTTCTTGTCTTCTCCTGGATCGAGAATCCTTGGGAATGAGGTGGTTTATTTTTTAAGTTTAAAATGAGGCAAGCAGTGTCTCCGTGAAATAACACGTTTGTTTAATGGACCACTGTACACAAAGTGCTATAATTAGAGATAGGGTTAGTTAAAACACCCTATAGCTCAGTGTTAAAATACTCCCATGCGATTATACATCATTTTGGATCGAGTTTTGGTCCACTTAGGTTTACGTATGGACACACGCGACAGTGACCAAAAACGGAACCTGTTGGAACAGCGCAAGAAAACACTGCCGGATTTTACGCTGGCGATTACGTTTCAAGCGAGAAAGGACTATATTTGTCAGGAAGGTGTCGTTGTACAATTTATGTTGAAGTTTAGTAGGTGAATACGTTTAGCTTTAAGAGCTTTTTTGTGCTACTGTCCCTGTTAAACTAGATAAAAGGCAAAAAAAGAGCTGCAGTTGAGAAGAGCAAAGCTCTTATCATGACCCAGTGTCCTTCTCTGCTAGCAACTGAACTTGGTGATGGACCACTGTCAGGGGAACTTGGTGATGGACCACTGTCAGGGGAACTTGATGATGGCGATGGACTGATTCCTGAAAAAAATTTATTTTAGCGTAACGGATAAATATAACTCGTAGTCTCGGCTAAGCCTAGGCACGGTTCATAAGTGATGTTATTTCACTGAAACTACCATCTTTTCTAATTTTCTTTTTTATTCCGAGAAATACATGCATTGAGCAGCTGAACTTTAAGCTTTTAGGTGAACGTTTACCTCATCAATGGCCGAGCAAAATTTACCCAGAAGTTGAAGAAATGACGAAATAGTACATTATGACGTCTTGTATTTCTGACAAAAACTCTTCATTTTTGAGTCTAAGTTCTCCTATAAAATCTGTTTATTTAAGGAAGGTATTAAAAAAAACAACTTGGAAGAGTGCCTCAGTACAAACAGCCAAACACCTAGTCGAAGGTCCAAAATGCTCTGTTACGCGCAGTTTATTTATTTATTTATTGTTTTTCAGTTAATCTCTATATTACCGTAGACGTGTTTCAAGAAGTTTCAGTTACACGTACCTGTTTGTAAGACTGGGATGATGTCTTTGTTACAGTCATCACCGGTGCAACACTCGACTGCGCATTCGAGCTGGGTCAAACTTTGCCTTCTGTCTCCCTTGAGAAAACCACCCACAGCCGCACAAGCCGCTTTCTTATCTGTAATCATCGGTCAAAAACGAAAAAAAAAAAGTAGACTTCTGTTGAATTTATTAAAAGGGAATAATAACAAAAAACTTTTTATATTCGTTTTAGCTGAGAACCTCCTGTCTCCTAACCTTAATTAATTAGCTACAGTCAACTCTTTCTAAGGCGGACACTTAGTGTCCGTCTTAGCTTGGATTTCCACTGTCGCGTAATTTTTCCGTACGTACGCACGTAAATTTTACGCGGGTGAATAAAATAGAGACAATGTATGGAAGGTCGCTCGTAAGCGCAAAAGGTTGAACCTCGCTCAACTTCTCGTTTAAGCTCAGCACATTTTATCTTGCTCTATATTATTCACGTCATGGATTAAAATTTACGTGCGTTAACGTGCGTAGGCGAAAACGCGTTAGTGGAAAATAAGCAACTTTTTGAGAGATGTCCGTCTTATAGAGAGTCAATTAAAGGGAGTAAAGAAAGGTAGGGACCAACTCTAGGTGTCCGTTTTACAGCGATGCCATAGGTGTATCTGTTAAGAGAGAAACACTCGTGAGAGAAAAACCACAACCCCAAACTAGTGAGGGTCAGCCTGATCTTTAGTAGACCTGGACAAGAGCCATAATAGGACAGAGAGGGCGCTGAATCGTGAAAGCGAGTCTTCCGGAAGTCAAACAGTTTACCGGAAACTGTTTCCGCGTGGTCCGCATAGTTCTAAAAATTCACTTTTTTGAAATTAAGATATCCCAGCCAACGCCCTTAGACTGCCTCTCTGTCCTATTATGGCTCTTGACATGGATCAGTAAAATCTTTGAGTACCAAATTTTAAACTTAAAACAGTAAACTGATCCTTACGGCAGGAAAAGTGATAGAAAAAATAAAGAAAGAAAACAAAAATAAAGTAATGAATTATATTTGCAAAACATAATGTTTTAAGTTTAAAATTTGTTAAGAGAGAGTCAACTGTAAATATAATTCCTGTCCAAAAAAACATGTTTTGTCTATTGCATTGCCAATATTGAAATATTCTCACATCATCTGTCGGGTAAAAAATGAGTGTAAAAAAGTCTGTTTCAGCGCCGTTGTAAAGCCATTCTCAATATGCGAACTTATTTTAATTAACGAGTTTCAAGTCTCGAATTAATCAGAATAATTAGCGTAACAACAATCATTCTGGGCAAAGGGTAAAATTATTTTCCTACCAGCACAGTTAATGCATCCCCGAATAAAGTTATCCACGATATTTCCTTTGCTATCCTGATATTTACCCACTGCAGCACCACAGTGAGAAGTACCGAGTGAAAATGAATCAGTGGCGCAAATCTGGGTCCTCCGACTCTTTGAGCGCGAGCAGCTGGTCGCATTAGTTCCCAGACATAAAAACACTGTTTCGGACCAGAAGCTAAACGAATGAAAAAACATAGAAAACAAAACGCGACCGTTAACTATTAATCACTAATGAAGAATAAGGGACGAGCGTTGGAAATTGGAGAGAGGGGGGAAGAGAAAGGGAGAGAGAGTTAATATATTTTAAGGTAAAGGTAAGATCACGCAAGGCGTCACCTTTTGATTACCTATAGATGGTTTTCACAGTGACATCATCAAATTGTAAAGTCAAAATAGCGAGGTTTTACGCATTCTTATTTACACTAGGTTGAAGTTTCTAGTCCCGTAGCATGTTTCATTTCGAAAATACAGCAATTTGAACTTCCGAGTTTTCACAGTGTGTGACACCAAAATTGGAAAGCTGTCTCATTGAAAAAAAGTCTGTTCTCTTGATTTTCAGCAGTATAACCATTTCAAGAATTAGAACATACGTTTATGTGCACGTATGCTAGTTCTCGAGTAAAAAGGAAGAGCTTTTATAGAAAAAAAGTGAACTCTAGATGTTTTGTTGATTTCCGGCGGCCATATTGGTGCACCAAAACGGTACACCAATATGGCGTCTCCGTACTAAGCTCTACAAAGGAACGTGAAAACTGAAACTGTGGGCTACAAAGACCTGAGACTTGGACAAATTGTTTATATACTAGTCTTTTATAACATTTCATTTTCTTTTCTTCTACTGGAAGGTTGACAATTTATTTTTTGTTGCGTGACAGTGAAAACGATCTATATATGGTAACTCATTCACACTACAGCTATCTTCACACTATAAGGGGTAGCATTTCGTGCCGACGCGACTATTCGGTAAATCATGAACACCTATCTGATATGTGAGTCAGTCTCTACTTTCGAGATCGGCGCGGTGCAGCTTCGCTCAGTTAAGAGACATCGCTCCGAAATCATCGTTCTTAACAGAACAGAAGCCATAGCCGGTATGCTTTTCAAGCCGGCAAAAAGCTCTGTGGTGTGTGTGGGCTAGCCTAAGTCTCTTACTAATAAATCCAGACTACCTTCTCCCTTTTCTCATGCGCCTTTTCTATCTCTCTTTCCTCTACCAAATTAGACAGATTACATTTCTTCAGTTTTTAAGAACTACAATCCTCTTTGCTATGCACTACATAAGTAAACATAGCCTTGTGCCTGACTAGCCCTTGGTTGGCTCGCAGGTGAATAGTGTTCATTTCTTTTTACTTTTTCATGTTTTCTGTCTTATTCGTCTCTTTTATTATCATGGTTATCATTATTATTGTTGTTATTCTCGCGAAGCGAGTGGCCGTAAGTCCGCGAGCGAAACGAGTTTATAAATTTGTAGCGCCTGCAGCGCGCGGCAACGCGCACAACAATCGCTAAGCGACGCGTGATCTTGCTTTGGTCAAAAATCTCTCTCTCTCTCTCTCTCTCTCTCTCTCTCTCTCTCTCTCTCTCTCTCTATCGGTTTGGGCGAACGCAGGTGCCTAGCAACAAGGCAGCGTGTAAACAAAACCGCCACAAAACTTGCCCGGTTGCTTTAGCCGCCATTGAGGAGGACAAGAAATGCCATTGGTGATAAATTTCGTACCTTTAACAGAAAATGGATGTGATTTGGACCATTAACTTCAAAATAACAGCGGAAATCGGGAAAAGAAAACATGTTTTGCGTCCTACTCCGTAGACAAAATTCGTTTTGGACTGTCAATATTTCGGTTATTTTCCTGAAATATATCTTTGAATTCGTGTTTAATACGGCTCGTTAAGCTTTAAACTGCCTTTGCCGGAGGAAGTTTCATGGAAAAGGGTTTACATCAAATACTTTTACTAGTGCTTATATCGTGATCCTCAGTAGAGCAGTGGTAAAGGAGAAATCGCGCCAATCTGGAGGCGCGAGGTTCGATTCCTGATCTTCTACCTCTCTCCTTCTTTATTTTATTTTTTTTTTCGTTGTTGTTTTGTTTTTTTATATTTATAAATAAAGTTTCCTTTCCCTATCGGCTTTTTCCCTTTCTTCTTACTTCTGGCCTTTAGCCTTTGCTTCGCTCTGCGATTCACGTATTTCTAGTTAGTAGTGGCATGGTAGAAGTGAACAACAAACGCACTTGAAAAATACACTTCCAAAAAAAGGCCAAACTCACTTAAAATTAAACCGCTTAACCTGCGAAACTCTGTCCTCCATTAACGAGATGGAATGCCTTTGAATAAATTGAATAATGCGTTTAGTATTCACCTCTACCTCCTTTTTTCTCTAATACGATACTTGAAGAATAGAACAACCTTCGTCTAATTACCTGCTGTTGTAAATACTTTGACTGCATTGGCTGATGGCGATCCGGTCGGTATTTGTGTGTTGCAGTTCTTCCCAGTGCAGCAGTCGATCTCACATTCCAACAAAGTCAATGATCTTGCCATTTTCAAATAACCACCAAGAGCAAAACAAGCCGCTTTTTTATCTGATAAAGAAATGTCACTTGGTTTTCTTAAGGTGGCGATAAGAATGTAGACACCTACCGACGTAAACTGGCTCTCTGAAGTGCAAGATTTTTAATGCAGCGTGCGCTGCAGAACTTCTCTTTGAAAGCAACGATATCAACAATACCAGTGTCGTGTAGCTTAATTTGAGAAATTTTCCCTTCTTTCGTCCTTCTAAAATGCTTAAGGAGATTCTGTCAGGATTGTTCTTAACTTTGGATGTGATCCTTGCAAGTTGCATGAGCAACCTAACGGATTGAAAGAGAACCTCGAAAACTGAAATTCTGGAAAGGTGGACAGCGCTATCAACTGGATAAATAACTATCCAGCGGATAACGCAATCAGTTTTTTTTAACTTTGAACAACCGGGGCATCACTTTTAATAAGTCGTTTTTAACTTTTAAGCCCGATTTATGGGCAAATTCTTGTAATGGCTTGTCCCTAACAAGAATCACGCATGGGCAAATCACACAGCTGGTAAAGCGTGGCTTAAAACCCGGCTCTACACTCTCACCATTAGGGAAAACTACAAAATTGGCTCTTCAAAACGCCTTTAGGTGCTCGCTTTTTTGCAAATGTTACCCTAAAGTCGGGGTTGGAGAAAATAAGGTGAAAATACACCTGCGTTTAAGTTAACCAGCGAAAGTTCGAGAACAAAACTAATTGTAATAGTAACATTGTAAATACATGAAAAGTTCTATGACGTCAAACTGCTTAGTGACTTGATTCGACGACCTCGTTCCCAGGAGAGAGCCTTGGCCCTAAGCCTCAGTGTGGTGAAAACTGGTTGTTAACTTACCAGCGCAGTCAAAACATCCTCGATATGCCAAATCCTTAACATTTCCGGAGCCATCCCGATAACTACCTACTACAGAGCCACAATGAGTCGTCCCAAGCGAACCAAAACTTGGATTTAGGGAACAGGCTTGGGAGGATCCTTGTTGAGCAAGTATCAAGCAATGAGTACATGTCGGTAGACCGGCAGCTGTGAGGAAAAAAGTTCATATTACCTGACATATCAGCGAAAAGAGGCAAGAATGAACCTTTCGACGAGCTCAGTTAGCTCAGTTTTTTGGTGGTGGGGATACTCTAGTGTCTTCAAGACCACCTTTTTAAATTTAATTAATTTAGTTGGGAGAGACCTTTGACTTGAAACTGTTAATAAGTGGACCGGAGTACAAGCTGAGTTAAAAATGACATTGTCCTTCATTTAACCATATAAGGGTTCGTCGTTTTGAGCATTTTTCTTGCCTTAAAATGCATCTTTCAGTCCTTTTGGGCCTTTTTACAGACTGAAATGGCAGATTTCCTTTCTTTTCTCCTTTTTTGGGGGGATCCTCTTTGCATAGGCTAAAATAGGGTTCCCCGGATCGAAACGCGTCATACATTACCTGCATCGTTACAGTTGTTACTTGTGCAACATTGGATATCACATGTCAGCAAGAGACCACTCCTGCGTGATTTAATGTAGCCACTTATAATTGCACAGGCTGCCTTTTTATCTGAAAACAATGAAGTCAGTAATAAATGTATCTTTTTGCAAGCTACATCTTCATGATATGTACCCACTGAATGCAGTTTAGTAACGTTTATTAATTAAGCTTCTTTCTCCGACTTTTTGTCAAACCGTTTGTGCCAGTTTTTCGATCGTAGCTGTTTGTTTATTTCTTTTTACCAAGATATGGTGACAATAGGTTTCTATGGTTTCGAAATGTGGTCATGGGGTCATAATAATTTAACCAAACTTTCTTGGATAGTTTTTTTTTTCCCACTAAAGTTGTCACAAAGAAATGAACAGAACCTGCCAAAATGATGTCAGAAACTGTATCGAGTAGTAAAGGTAGTTAGATCATAGGTGTTGATTTAGATTAAGATTTAACTTATTTGTCACGTCAAAGAAGTGTTTAGGAAAGTCTGTGTTAAAGCTGGGGCTCTTTACCGCCTTATTTTCACTTTCCTTGGTACCCTTTGTTCTTTTTGGGAATATATTACATAACCAGATGATGTCTGTTGATAGAGTACAAGAAGTTCCTGTCGTCATGGTCTTTAACAAAGTGGAGAAGGGTTTCCTGTGTCTCCTGGAGGTATTTATCAAGACCGATAGTGGTTGACTTGTAGGAAAGCTCCAGCTGTAAGCCCCCCTGTACCTCTTCCATTCTGGGCAGGTAAAGCCTGTCCACGTCAGATTGGGGTGGTGCATCTTGTACACGGTCTGGGAACTTTCTAACCTTTTGTATCAAGTTTGGCCATTTCTTGTAATGTCCAGTTTGTGACGTTAAAACTGTAAGTTACCACTGGTACTGCCCAGGTGTTGATGGCTTTCAGTTTGTTTGCGGAGTTCCATCCGATCCCGGTAGTACTCTTCCGGATCTTCTCTTTCATCTGAGAGTGCTGGACTCCGTCTCCCTCGCTTACTCCGAGGCACTTGTAGGTACCTTACTGTTCTAAGTCCTGTATGATGGTGTTGACGTCGAGCTTGATGTTACTAGAGTCGGCCTAGTTGCCCTTTTCTTGAAGGTGGCCTTGGCGCACTTGTCCAATCCGAACTCCATGCCTATGTCGTCACTGAAAGATTTGATGGCTTTCAACAGGCCCGTTTGTTCGTCGTCACTTTTTGCGTAGGTCTTCAGGTCATCCATGTGAAGAGGTGGCTGATCTTTCCATGGGGGTGTTGTACCCATAGCCACTCTTGTTCAGGAGGGAGCTTATTATTATTATTATTATTATTATTATTATTATTATTATTATTATTATTATTATTATTATTATTATTATTATTATTATTATTATTATGTCGCAGTATGAAACTTTGGAATGCTGTCCACATTATGAGTAGTATAGGGCGCATAGTAACCTACACCACTTTGAGAAGCTATACTTAGAAGTAAAAATGGTCGATACGAATACAATCCTAAAATACATAGTGATATAAGTCTCTCTACTTAAAAAGCCAATTTAGAATATTATTAAATTCTGATACTCTGTAAAACCTTCGCTATCTCTACTAAAAACATATTTATAATAATATCACACTCTAATGTTCTAAAAAATCTAAGTAAAAACGTCAGCAAGCTTGTGTTTCTAGATTTCTAGAGAAAAACCAAAAACCTAAAAACTGAAGTCCATAGCGCCCTAAGTATTTATTATTATTATTATTATTATTATTATTATTATTCTAGTTCCTGTGATATCGTATTTCCAGAATTATCCTGCTAAACGTACCTGAGCAATTAATACATCCTCCTATAAACCGCGTCACGTATACCAAAAGTGGACGCATACTTTATCTGGCGTAGCCACAGTGAGTTGTTCAGTGAACGCGAATCTCGGCTACAATCCTGTGGGCCTTGTCTCTCAATGCACTCTGCATCATTATCGTCGAAACACTCCCCTGGCATTGCGACGGTCAGGGCTGCCCATACCATAGCAAAGGGAGAAGTAAAGTCAGACCAGAGAGACTATTTTAATAGGCAGTTAAAACCCTTTAACCGCTTCCAGAGTGAATAGAGGAGTTTTGTAAGGTGGCTCTAACGTTTGAGTCTGTGGACGAAATCCTATGATGTGACCATTCAAATGAAAGCTCTCTACCTGTACTTTCACATGGTACTATTTGTTTTTTAAAATTTTGCAAAATGAAATTTGGGAATTTTTGTTCAGTTTTGCCTTTAGCCACAATTGGCAGTGACAGGGTTAAAAACTAGTACCTAAGTCCAACGTCACGAAACAGGGACAAGGGACTAGCGCTACCATGCGTTTATGGCACTGTTCCCCGATTACACGATCGCAAGCGAACTAGCCTCCCATGCAGAAGTTTTAGGGCTTCGTGACGCCCTCCTGCAAACGTTCGTGAGCAAAAAACGGGTGACGAAGCCCCTACGAACGTCTGCGGAGGCTACAAGCGAACATGTGACAATCGCTAATCCGTTTTCCAGCTGACGGCTGATAGAGACCAAGGTTTGGTCCAAACATGACAAACGTTCACGGTAAACTCGCATAGCTCTGGTTCTGTAAAATATACAATTTGAAAATATTTAATATAATACCTTCTGGTGTAAAAACACAGTTACCGCGTCTTGTGTCAAAGATGAGTTCTTCGTGTTACATCTACTGCTATTGCAACACTCGATTTCGCACTCAAGCAATGTGTCTCCTCGTTCAGTCTTCAGATAACCTCCAAGAGAATAGCAGGCTGCTTTTTTATCTGAATGGAAAGATTGTGATTATCGTAGCAGTTTCTATTATGATTTATTTTTTCTGTGATAAAACTGTTAAAAATAATACTTTTTACTTACCCGTGCAGTCAAAACATCCTCGAATTATATCGATATTGGTGCCATCAAAAAGCCCCCACGGTACTTCACTGCTGCCGAACCACAATGAGTTGTACCGAGGGAACTGCGACCCGTCAAACACGTTTGGTTCCTTTGCATTGAAGAGCTGCAGGGTCTGATTGGGCCACCCTGGAACTCCGTACACGCGATACACTGTCCTGGACCATTGTCTGAGTAAACAATTAGGTAAGCATTGTATTAAACACGAGAAGAAGTGTTTTTTTTTCCGATTTTCACGCACCGAGAAGTAATATATCAAACACGAGAGGGAGTGTTTCATCCGATATCCAAACACCGAGAGGTGAAATATCAAACACGAAAAGGAGTGTTTCAGTCTGATATCCAAACAACGAGAGGTGATATATCAAACACCAGAAGCAGTGTTTCATCTGATATCTAAACACCGAGAAGTTATATCGAACACAAGAAGAAGTGTTTTTTCGATATCCAAACACCAGAAACGAGTTTGAAAACGAGGGCAAGTACTTTCAACCAACTATTTGAGGTGTACTTTTATATTGAATCGTGCATACCTAATACACGCCTCACTTTAACCCGCTCTCGTATAAGCGCCGCACCTATAACGGGGATAATTAAATAAGCGCCTCGGTGCTTAATCGATCATTACGGTATGGTTCGTAACAAAGAGTTACTCGAATGCATTACCTTTAACGTTCTTATACTTAAGTCATGCATGAAAGGGTATTCAGCTAAGTAAGATAAAAAATTTTTCTAGCTTTCATTTATTACCTCCGTCATTGCAATTATCACCAGTGCAGCACTCGATTTCACATTCCAAAAAGTGTACGATCTATAAAATGATCTCAGATAGCCACCAAGTGTAGCACAAGCTGCTCTTTTATCTGTAAACAGATCATTTAAAAATCAAGGTAATATATTACTCAAGACATTGACTTCTACCGGCTTTATTTTGACCCCACCTAAAAGAGAGACCATGCTCGAAAACATTGTTTTTGGAGGTTTTGTCCTTCTTGCAACCCTTAAGTGAGAATAGAATTCATCCTCTCTTGTGGATAAAATTATTAACTTTTACGTCGTTAATACCTTAAGTGAGACCAAAATTGCAATTTTTCGATACCCTTAAGTGAGGGAATAAGAATCCCCGTCACTTCAATATGGGAAAGTTTGGCTTTAACTGAAGAGATGGTGAACCTCAAGATTTTAAAGATTAGGAGCTAGGTTCGGTAGTGTTATTATTTAAGACATTCGATTTAGCGATTTTACGATGCCAGATTCAGGAAATGTTGTCGTAGAGTATGGTTTCCATAAGAAAAGTGAAAATCATTTCATTTGGACTTGACACAAGTTGCCCATTTTCTCGTCCCATGACGAGTTCTATGTCCGCACCACTTTTTTAGCCCACTGTCAATATGAGAGAAATTCAAGGCTTTGCAAGGCACTTAAAAAATAATACGAATGTGAGATCGGGGATTAGCCGATAAAAGACGTCTAGAGTAACAGGAGTGAGGGAAGATTTTAGTCAAGATCACAGAACTGGAGAGAGACCTGTTCTCCCTCCCACCTCCAAAATGTAAAATTCTACTAACCCGCACAGTTAATACATCCTCGTAAAGTGCGATTATAGACACCACGATCGTCACGATATTTAACTGTCGCAGAGCCACAATGAGTTGTTCAGAGTGAACGAGAACTCGTCGCGCACATTTGGGGGTCTCTGGCTATAACTGCAGGTGTACGGATCACTTTCCTCGCAACTCTGACATTGTGTTGGACCAGGGCTGTCACAAAAAAAAAAAAGATTGTTCGCAGATTACAATTGAGACCTTAAGATCGAGGTTTGTGCCGTCTTACCGCAAGCGGCAATCTGCGGTTTGCGGTTAGCGGTTTCACGTTATCCGTCTACCCATATTTAGGAATTAAGATTCGCGGCCGGGTAGCTTGCGGCTGCCATGTTTGTTTTTATTCATTCATTTACTTCTATTTTAACTGAGAAATCGTCTTCAAAGTTACGTCTCTATAAAAATAGTTCAATAATTAATTAGCGAAAGAGTTCTAAAAAAGGGAGTTTTTCTCTCAAACGTGGGATTGTGAAGTTTTAGAGTACAAAAACCTTGCGGTAAAATCACTTACCTGTAGAGCGTAATCTAGCCGTACAAACGTGAACCTCAAACCGCAAACATGACGGCAAAGGCACTAGTCACGTGACTTCTTGGCGTTTGCGGTTCGCAGGAAATACCGTAAAACCTCGAGCTTAAGGTCTCTATTGAGCTTTTTCTTGACGCCAAGCGAGCAAAGTCTATACACCTTAATTTGATAAAAGCATGAACTTTGCTGCTACATGGCAAATGGAGGAACCTTTTTACCTAAGCGATGAATTGGTGCTATTTCTTTGTTAGTAAAAGATAGGTAAAATGGCAAGCAGTTGACGTGACCATATGTAATTTTTTAGTTATTGTAGCATAGTATATAGCCTCACTTTCGAGTCTTCAAGACGTGCACACAGAACTAGTCTGTGAAGTTGACAAGTTTTTTCTAAAAATTTGTGATTTTCTGTTCGTCGCAAGCAAGCACGTTAGTTTTTGAACAAGAAACTCTTAAGGAAAAGGCCTGTCTACTGGAGCAAATTAAAGCAAAAACCAAAATTGTTAGAGACAAATTATTCCCGTAGGTGGGGCTTTGTTCGACCAAAAGAAAATGCATAAATCACATTGAACACGCTTCTCTTCGTCCACTTTTTTTAAGTACCATAACAAAAAATAATAGTTATCGAATCAACAATCAAAGGGATTTAATTATAAAAATTAACGTTAAAAATGAAAGACGTTTCAACCGTCCGAGGTTCCTTTTAAGTTCAAGATAAGAATTAAAATTAAGCATGTAAACGTTGTTCATTTTAAAGTTAATTTTTATAGTTAAATCCCGAATCTAGCCTGATTTTGCTCTTAAATCCCTAATCCCGAGCTTCAAATAAGGGAAATTCGGATCCCTGAAAAACCTGTTGGGGGACCCTCTGGTGGTGTGTGCTATATCTTTCATGGCAGGGGGGCGTTGCATAGTTTACTTTTTGGCGTGTGTGGAGTCATACGTTGAGTAAAAGTGCCGTTACCTTTTGGGGGAAAACAGTAACTGCATCTTGTGACAGGGTAGGGATCTGAGTGTTGCAGTTGTCGACGGAGAAGCATTCAATCTTACACTGTAACAGGATTCGACCTCTGTTCCTTAAATAGCCTCCAAGAAAAAAGCACGCTGCGGTCTTATCTGTAACGAAAATTATATTTAGCACCAAGTTAGCAAGTATTTTCTTCATCAAGAATAAAGCAATGTACATGACTCGTTTAAACGTGGACGTGCCAAACATCAACAGAAAATTTAACGAAATATTATAAATTTAAAGGAGCTGTGTCACGAAATTAATCAAAATTTAAACAGTGATACCACCACCAAACTGAGTGAAACATAGAAATAGAGCGATTTTCGTACGACCTTGAAATGAAAACGGCCGTCGATAAAACCCGAACATGGAACATTCCGGAACATGCCGGAAACATTCCGGAACATTCCGTAACATTCCGGAACATCCTGAACATGAAAAAAATTTAAAAATTTTAAAAATAATAGCAAAAGAAATAAATAAGACAATAAATATACTTTATATATAACCAAAATAAACATAAACACATAAAATAAGAAAACAATAAATAAATAAAAAAATGAATCTAAGTATCTTCTCCGAGTATAAGGAAACAATATTTTGTGGGAATCACGAGAGGGGATGAAGCTTTTATCTCTCTTGGTCGGAATTGATTTGCTGGGCAGTGAGGGCAGTTCCATGCAAATGATGGTCATGATTGACGGTTCGCCTCTTTAAAATATAGTAGATTGGGTCGCAAAGACGGAATTTTTAAGCTTTCCTCACAAACTGCACGAATTACCTGGCAGTCATCGTCCGAACTGCTGTCTGAATCCA